CTGGTCCCTTTGCCCCTGTGGCTGGAGTTTTGAGAATGATGCCAGTGATGCCTGGGACAGAGGGCTGCAGCTGAGCAGAGCCCCCCTGCCATCCTGCAGGGATGACCATGGGTTCAGCCCCCTGCACTGGGCCTGCCGTGAGGGCCGTTCAAATGTGGTGGACATGCTCATCATGCGCGGGGCTCGCATCAATGTCATGAACCGGGGCGATGACACCCCACTGCACCTGGCTGCCAGCCACGGGCACCGTGACATCGTACAGAAGGTACCTGTCCCCTGTGCTAGCACCTGTCCTTCCCCACCCCTGTGTAGCCTTCTACACTACCCTCATGGGACTTGCTCCCCTCTTCACCTGTCAGGAACACCTGGCATGCCCCCAGTGCTTCTGAGCTCCCTGCTCCTCACAAGCTCCCTCCAAATCCCTCTGAGCCCCACATCAGTTCAGCACCCTCCCTACAGCTCCCAATGTGCTGCTCCTGCATCTCTCAGGACAAGGCACAGGGAGGATGGGGGCTGTCCTGGGCTCACGGGGATCTTGCCTGGGCTTAAAGGTACAGTCCTGGGCTCACAGGGACTGTCCCCTGTCCCCAGCTGATGCAGTTCAAAGCAGACATCAACGCAGTGAATGAGCATGGGAACACACCACTGCACTATGCCTGCTTCTGGGGACACGAGCAGGTGGCTGAGGTGAGTGGGAGCACGGGCAGGAGGGAAGGTGGGGTGGGAGGGGGACTGAGGGGAGATCAAAAATCACAGTCCTTGCTGTCTGCTTCCACAGGACCTGGTGGGCAGCGGGGCCCTGGTCAGCATTGCTAACAAATACGGTGAGACCCCCACAGACAAGGCCAAGATGCCACTGCGAGAGGTCCTGAAAGGTACGAGGGTCCCTCAGGACCCCATAACTGATACAGCCTCTGGCCAGTCGCAGCAGGCTCTGGGTGCCACCCTCCTCCTCTCTCTGCAGAGCGTGCTGAGAAGCTGGGCCAGAGCCTCACCAAGATCCCCTACAAGGACACGTTCTGGAAGGGCACGACCCGCACCCGGCCCAGTAAGGACTGAGGGTCCCTTAGCGGGTGCCATGGATCCCCCTGCCCTGCTGGCACTGCCTCCTGGATCCAGTAGCCATGGGTATTCATTCCCCTTCTACTGTAGGGAATGGGACCCTGAACAAACTCGCCGGGATTGACTTCAAACAGCTGAGCCTGAGTCACAAACTGAACGAGAACCAGTCTGGAGAGGTGGGTGCCCCTCGACCCCAGGTGGGCGCTGTGGCTGTGCAGAGTGCCGTGTCCTGGCCCTGCTGGGCACCGCTGTTCTGGAGTCCCATGGCCTGGTGCAGTGGGGGAGCTCCTACCCAGCTCAAGGGGCTCCCTTCTCATTGTGGGCCCTTGGTCCCATGGGCTCCAGAGCCCCCCATGGGGGCCTGGGTATGCTGGGGACTCTGCACCCCTTTCACGGTGCCTGTGTCCCTGCTGCTCCTCCAGCTGTGGAAGGGGCGCTGGCAGGGCAATGACATCGTAATCAAAATGCTGAAAATCCGGGACTGGACGACACGAAAGAGCCGAGACTTCAACGAGGAGTACCCAAAACTGCGGTGAGTGCTGTGCCTGCCTGCAGCCACCCTGGCATGTGCCTGGGATCCCCACCAGTATTTGACTGGGGCCACCCCAGTACCTCCTCATGGCAACAACACTCAGAGTATGGGGCAGAAACTCCCAGATCTGTGGGGCCAGGGTGGTGGCCAAGGGCTGGGAGACCCTGGGGAATGCCAAAGGGCAGACGAAGGGGTGCAGGCAGCCCCTCCCTGTTTTTAGGGCTGTCATTTCTCTTGCAGGATCTTCTCCCACCCCAACGTGCTGCCGGTGCTGGGTGCCTGCCAGGCCCCTCCAGCTCCCCACCCCGTTATCATCAGCCACTGGATGCCCTACGGTTCCCTGTACAACGTCCTGCACGAGGGGACCAGTGAGTGCTGGGGCATGGTGTGTCTGGGGGCAGCAGGGGCCTCTCCAGCCATAGCCCTGGCTGGGCTTAGGGTGGGTTGATCCCCTGTCACCCCCTTCCCAGATTTTGTGGTGGACCAGATGCAGGCGGTGAAGTTTGCCTTCGATATTGCACGGGGCATGGCCTTCCTGCACACGCTGGAGCCCCTCATCCCGCGCCACCACCTCAACAGCCGCAGCGTTATGGTGAGTGGGGACACAGCCCCCCTCACAAGGCAGGGGGGGCTCTCAGGGCAGGGCTGACTGCCTGCTCTCCCCAGATCGACGAGGACATGACTGCACGAATCAGCATGGCCGATGTAAAGTTCTCCTTCCAGTGCCCAGGGCGGATGTATGCCCCGGCCTGGGTGGCTCCTGAAGGTGAGTGCCCAGCTCCCAGACCCCCCAGACTGGCCCCCTCACCCCCAGCCCCACTCAGCCCCCAGCCATCCCCCAGCCCTGCAGAAGAAACCAGAGGAGATCAACCGGCGCTCAGCTGACATGTGGAGCTTCGCGGTGCTGCTGTGGGAGCTGGTGACACGGGAGGTGCCCTTCGCTGACCTGTCCAACATGGAGATTGGTATGAAGGTGAGGGCGCGGAGGGGCAAAGGAACTGATTTGGGTCAGAGTTTAGGGAGAAGTTCTGGCCTTTGAGGGTGGTGAGGCCCTGGCAGACGTTGCCCAGAGGACTTTGGCTGCTCCATCCCTGGAAGTGTTTAAGGCCAGGTTGGAGAGGGTGTTGAGGCACCTGGGCAGGTAGAAGGTGTCCCTGCCTATTGGGACAGGGTCCCAATCCTAACTCTGGCTCCTCTTCCTGCTTGCAGGTAGCACTGGAGGGGCTACGTCCCACCATCCCCCCTGGCATCTCCCCCCACATCTGCAAACTGATGAAGATCTGCATGAACGAGGACCCAGCCAAGCGCCCCAAGTTCGACATGATTGTGCCCATCCTGGAGAAGATGCAGGAGAAGTAGAGGGGAGGTGCCTCCCCATTCCAGTGCTGCCTTACGCCCCCCACCACCCCCAAGTGCCTTTAGCCCTAGAGCCGGGGGGAGCAGAGGACACCCCTCACCCTGAGCCAGCCATGGACACACGGTACAGATGGCACTGCCTGCACTGGAGCTCTGCAGGCTCTGGACCCCCACCCAGGGCAGCCCCTCACCAGGGTAGCCCTAACCCAGCCTCTGGGCAGCCCCCAGTCCAGTGCAGCCCCCCTACCCAGGGCATGGTGTGTGGCCTGGCCCTTCTGCTGGGGGATGGGGCTGTGGGGACCCCTGTCCCCCTTGCTGGGCAAAGCCCAACACAGGACTCAGCTCCCCGAGGCTGGGGGGGGAAGGGGAAGGCCAGGAGAGGCCACCTGTGGTGCCCAGCACTGCCCCTGCTTCGCGCTTCACTGGCCACTTCCCTCTGTCCCCAGAACGGCCGCTGGCAACCAAATAAACATTTGGTATGGAACCAACTGCTGGGGTACAGGGTGGGGGAGTAGGGGGAGTTGGTTGGGGGTGGAGGGCTGGGATTCGCAGGGGATGTCTAGGACTGAGGGTGAGGCTGAATTGATATGGGGCTGCCTTGCAGCCCACAGAGCCCTGGGCACAAGTCACCCCCCGCAGCAACCCTCAGATGCTCAGTGCAGGTAGATGGACACAGGGCTCCCTCAGGAGATGCCCGGTGCAGGAGGGGTGGACTGAGGGTCTCATCCCTGGCTCCATTTGTAGCACTGCCTGTGCAGCCCCCAGGGTATTCCCTGTGGGAGACAAGAGGCAGTTTAGGGAAGGAGAAGGAGGAAGAGTGCTGGGTAGTTCCTGTCCCCCTAACCCCACTCCGTTCCAGCACTGTTGGGAGCACTGAGCTGCCTGTGACTGGCAGAGGACGAGGAGCATGTGGAGGACCAGGGCCAGCATTTGTGGACACAGGCACAGGAATAACACTGCCTTCCCACAAAACCCTACTAGGTGTTTAATGGCACCGAAACGGCCCCTACAAACTACCCAAACTGCCCTGTGCTCTACGTGAAGTAATGCGGCTTCTTCACATTGATGCCGTACTCCGCCAGCGCTGGTGTCAGGTCCTCCATGGTCAGCGTGTACTTCTTGTCCTGGGGGACACAGGGCAGGCGGTAACAGCAGGGAGCATGGGGTGGGATGCCCCAAGGTGCAAGGGCAGGTGTGTCCTGGTCCCAGAGGAGCTGCTGGGCAACATTAGGGCATTCCCAGCTCCCCACATTCTGTTGCTCTGTGCCCTCAAACCTCCCCAGACACTTAGTACCAAATCCCATTTGCTTTGCAGAGCCCCTGAACTCCTGATACACCAGGAGGGGGTCCCCAAGATCCCCCACTCCAGCTCCTCAAGCCCAGAGCTGCATCCACTGCTGGGATGGGGGGGCACCAAAGTGTGTCCACAAACTCGGTGCCCCCCTCATGTCCCCGCCAGCACCTACCCACCTGCAGGGCCCCACCGTAAGCCTGGCAGGTTTTGGGATTTCTGCACCCTATGTTCCTGCATTCCGTGGCTGCAGGCTCAGCCCCATCCCCAAAGGAGGTTCCCCAGTTCCCGCAGTGCTGTCACCTTGCTCTTGCTGCGGGAGCTGCCCGAGGCCGTGCCCTTCATTTTGCAGTGCTGTAGCGCATCGTTGGCAATGTCTGAGATGAACTTCTGTGCCGCCAGCGAGATCAGGCGGATTCTGCGGGACAGGGACCGTGTCAGCGAGGGGACAGAGGTCCATGGGCCCCTCTGCCGGACCCCCACGGGGTTCCTGCTACTCCCGCCCATCCTGTGGCCACTCACATGCGGGGGTCCGAGGCCTCAAACCCTGCCCGGTTCAGGTAATACCCTGTGACGGCATCCGGGATCTGGGAAGGGAAGAGGTGGAACAGCTCCACGGCCTCGTGGGAGCGTTTCCATATCCTGTATCCCGTCGCACAGGAGCCGCCCCGTATCCCAGTACCGTGGGACCTGCCCCGTGTCCCGTCCCGTCCCGTCCCACAGGAGCCGCCCTGTGTGTCGGTACCGTGGGCGTGTAGTCCTCCAGCTGCATGAGGAAGTCCACGAGCGGCGTGGTGGACACCACGGGCTTCACGTCTCCGTTGGCCGCGGGCGGCACGTACACGCCGTTGGACATGGCCCCGTCCGGGGGGGCGGCCACGGCCGCGGACACCGGCACTGCGGGACAGCACGATCAGTGCTCGGAACCCCGCACGCCCGCGCCCCGCCGACACTGGCA